GTCTATCTTCACGATGCCCATCACTGGTATTTCAGTTCCCGGAAATGCACCTGTCTGCCCAGAGACCCAGGCTCCAGGGCAGCGATGGCCTCGAACACGCTCATCCCACCCAGAACCAGCCCAAAGCTCGTGGTCTCTGTGCCTCAATGTTTGTGGCCCCCACCCAGGGTCACTGAGCCCAGGTGCCGGCTGACCTGCTGTGTGCGCCACCCTCACCATCTGGGTGGGGGGGGGCTCTGGGGACACGAGGGGCTCTCTGATGTTCCTGGGGCGCTGTCTGCAGCGGCTGCTCCTCCCTGTTGCAGGACATCAGGGCGCACAGGTGCTGCCGAGATGTTCCGAGGCCCCCGCGCCACCCTCCTGCTCTGGGGGCTCCTGGGGACGCTCCGCGCCCAGCAGCAGGAGGCCGTCGCACCCGGCACCTCCGAGAGAAACAGCTGCCCAGGTACCGGCGGTGGGGGGCTGCGGGCTGGCGGGGGAGCGAAGCGGGTGGCGGAGCCCGGCAGCGGGCGGGCCGGCTCCCCGCAGCCCTCGGTCTGTGTCCGCAGAGAAGGCCGACTGCCCCGTCAACGTGTACTTCGTGCTGGACACGTCGGAGAGCGTCACCATGCAGTCCCCCACCGACAGCCTCCTGTACCACATGCAGCAGTTCGTGCCGCAGTTCATCAGCCAGCTGCAGGACGAGCTGTACCTGGACCAGGTGGCCCTCAGCTGGCGCTACGGCGGCCTGCACTTCTCCGACCAGGTGGAGGTGTTCAGCCCTCCGGGCAGCGACCGGGCGTCCTTCACCAAGAGCCTGCAGGCCATCCGCTCCTTCCGCCGCGGCACGTTCACCGACTGCGCGCTGAGCAACATGACCAGGGAGGTCCGGCAGCACGGGGCCCAGGGCGCGGTCCACTTCGCGGTGGTCATCACCGACGGCCACGTCACCGGCAGCCCGTGCGGCGGCATCAAGCTGCAGGCCGAGCGGGCGCGCGAGGAGGGCATCCGGCTCTTCGCCGTGTCCCCCAACCGGAACCTGAACGAGCAGGGCCTGCGCGACATCGCCAGCACCCCGCTGGAGCTCTACCGCAGCAACTACGCCACCATGCGGCCCGACTCCACCGAGATCGACCAGGACACCATCAACCGCATCATCAAGGTCATGGTGAGCCGCCCCCGCCCCGCGGCCCGGGGTGCAGGGGGGGCCGGAGCCCCGGGACCCGCCCCGCGGCCCCAGCCTCGGTTGACCCGTTGTGAGTGAGGCGCCTGAAGGGGCTAAGCCCCGGCAGGGCCCCGCCTGCTCCTCTGTGCTGCGTTCCCGCCAGACGCTCCGGCTCCGGCTAACCAGGCTTTCTCTCTCTTTCCTGCAGAAACACGAGGCCTATGGAGAGGTGAGAGGCATCCCCGTGCTTGCCAGCCCCGCTCGCGCCATGCACCTTCGGGGCCTCTGAGCTGACCCAGCAGACATTACACATCTCACCTGGCACCACCGTGGTGCTCCCCCGGGGGCCAGGGACGAGACCGCTGCGCCCCATGTCGGGCCTGCGGCTGGGGTTTGGAGGAAGGGCACCTGACCCAAACGGTGCTGCTGAAATGCAGGAAGTCGGCATTAGCGTTGGTGTTAGAGATGGTCTTAGGTTCGCCCACCAAGCCACCGCCAAGTGGATGAGGGTCGAGGTTGAGCGTGGTCTCCCACTTGACAGGCTCCATCCCCCTGAGCCAGGCCAGGAGGAGGAGACGAGGAAGTGGGTACCCAGCAAGGGATCTGCCGCCTGGGTCCCTGACATTCCCCTTGTCCCTGTGTGTCCCCGCACCGGCTCACAGGAAGGGGTGCTTCCCACCCTGCTAGGCTCCTACAAGCACAGCCTTTCCCAGAACAGCTGCTCACAGCACAGGGTTAACAACAGGTGCAAGGTGTCCAGCCACCCCTGCGTGGCCTTTGCTGCTATCAGCCCAGCCTCGGTTTCTAACATTTGGCTAGAGCGAGTGTAGACCCAGCGCCCTGGCAGGCGCCTCCTGAGCCTAGCCCTTCGTCCAGTCCCCATGCTCAGGCTGGTCCACTACCCAGTGGGCCAGGGGCCTGGACAGCATCCTCCTTCCCCCGGCCCCCAGGGGGGACTCACTGTGCTGGCCTCACGCTGCCCTTTGCTTCTTGTTTCAGTGCTACAAAGTGAGCTGTCTGGAGATCCCTGGGCCTCTGGGCCTCAAAGGCTACCGTGGACAGAAGGTAAGATACCCACACTGCCCTGCGGTCTGCACTGCCGGGAAGCCCCCGGCCCCTCTTGAACTACAGATGTAGAGTCAACTACACCACATGGGCTCAGCACAGCTGACCCTGGAGAAACTAAAATTCAGTTTTTATGTACTTCCTTTTAAATGTCATTTTGGGAAAAGAAGGGACACTTTTTTATTTTTAAGATTTGCCTTTAAAATACTTCTTGAGGGAGAACGAACCAAGACAGCAGAGTAGATACATGCTGTGCTTGCCTCATCCCGTGAAACATCAAAGTTACAACTAAATTATGGAACAATCAACTTGGAGAAATATCTGAAGTCTGGCTGAACAGCAGTTTTATAACTAAGGACATACAGAAGAAGCCATGCCGAGACTGGTAGGAGGGGCAGAGACACAGAGCGGCCTGACCCCAAACCTCCGTGTGGCAGTTGAGAATCAGGAGAAATACGTCGGCCACAGAGGTTCCACCTGGAGGAGCAAGAAACCCCAGCCTCACACCAGGCTTCCCAGCCCAGAGTACTGGTGCCGGGAAGAGGGGGCACCCACCACATCTGGCTGTGAAAACAGTGGGGATTCTGACCATCCGGGTGGGACAGAAAGCAGCGGGAAACCCAGGCATCCTCTTAAACTGCCTGCACACACACTCACTCACTCACAGGCACTCACTTTGGGCTCCAGTGGAGGGACAGTGACTCGGGGGGCATTGGAGACATTTGGGGGTCAGACTGAGGTATGCGACTTCAGGGGGAGGCCCAAAGGACAGTTGCCATTTTCCCTGTGAGGAGTCTCCTCCCGTGCAGCCGGCAGG